TTTTACTAATTGGGGTTCAAGTATAGTGACTCAAAAGATTATCCAGTCTTCTTTAGAAGAAAAGATTTATGAAGCTCAAAAATTAGATGTAGAATATCTAAAGTTGATTGATCAGATCATATCCGATAAGAAATCTGAACTATGAGTTTTTAATTCAAGTCTGTATGAAGTTACACTTCACTTTACTATTAATTCGTAGATAGACGAACATTCTAAAAGAACTATTCAAGTACTAGATGATCTTCTGAGACTATGTATTTTGGGTTTTAGGGGTAGTAGGGAAGATCATATCCTATTGATAGAGTTTATATATAATGATAGCTATCAGTCCAACATAGGTATTACTCCTTATGAAGCTCTGTATGATAGAAAAACTAGGACTCCTTTGAATTTGACAGAAATTGGAGATAGAAATGTGATAGGTTTGTGGATGATACTACAATAAATGTCCTTTTGATAAGAGAAAGTTTGAAATATGCATAGGATATATATAAGAAGAAGAGATTATCTGTTGATGATGTTGAGGCTTACCTGAATCTACAGTATAGGGAAGAACCTAAAATGAATTTGACATATGATATGAGAATAATGAAAAGCAAACAAATTCCTATGTTCAAAGTACAGTGAAAACATATAATTACTATAAAGGCTACTTTAGAGAAGGAATATGATATGAGCGAGCTGTATATAGGTTTATTCTAACTTAATTTATTTTGGAAACATCAAGAATGACATTTTTCTGGTGGGTAGATTGTGAAATCTTAAATTTTTTTTTAAAAAAATTGTTGACTTAGAGTAGTCAATAATTATTTCATGAGTCATTATAAGTTCAATTCATAAACCATCTTTGTTAGAACATTTATAGTGTTATATTTTAGCTTTCTTAATTTTCTTATAATTTTTGGACACTGTTGAATTTTTTTAAGAAATCGGTACCTATTGGTACAAGTGGGATTTTAAGGATTGCCAGATATCTGTTTTGCAAATCGATTTCACCAAAATATTCTTAAAAAATGAGCTAATTTATGAATATTTTTTTTGTAATTTTCAAAATCTAATTTATAATGATAATATTATATATTATTTAATAATTAAAAATAAACATCTAAACATATTATAATGTCATTCTCTTTTCCCTAATCAGTTCACGGATAATAGAGAAAAAAAGAATTAAAAGAGAAAGACAAGTGAAAGAATAGGAAAATTCCACTTTTGGTCGACTTCGAGCTATTTTAGTTCTTCGGCGTAACCGGGAAACTTTATGCCCATCTCAATTTTAAAAAATGCACAATTTTTATAAAATTTTTTCATTAAATTTTGTATTGTTAGCAAAAATACGGATAAAATTGCACAAGTAAAACTTTCATTGCATAACTTTTTATATGTTACATAGATTATGATTATGCACATTTTAAATATTTTTTAAAAATTTTACAACGTGTTTTGAAATTTGTAAGCTTTTTATTGAATAGAAAATTATTTGGATACTGAAAAATAGTAGTGTGTTACAATAAAAATCATAAAAGATTATTTTACGCAATCTCTAGTAATTTGATAATTTTTTGAAAATGTGCATTTTTTACTAGTAGGACTTTCTGTTATCTACCATTATATAACATTATGCAATTTTGATACATGCTCAATTACTCTTTAATTATCATAATGTGATGATATATGTCCATATATTATTAAATTATATATGTTGGGAACCATAAGGATTCAGAATACTTTGAGATTCTATATGTGTAAGGGAATTATTGAGAGTTATAAGAGATTAGAATCCGTTAAGATTCTATCTAAGACAGAGATGTGTGATATGCTCTGGTGCTATAAGTAGAAATTAAAAAAAAAAAAGTGAGTCATAATGGGCTAGAATCTTTTGAGGTTTTGTCCGAGTCCGAGAAATGTGATATGAACTGTTCTATGATATGAATTTTAATTTATTTATTTGTTCAGTATTATTATTTAAATCAGTAAATAAATGTTTTTCATTTATTACTTCTTTTAGTATAGTAATTTATTTAAATAGCATTTATCTGCCTTTAAATATTCAGCAAAATATTTGAAAAATTATTTTTTTAAAAATTTAGATTGGTTTGTTTGACTTGCTGAGTTGTTGTAGCTCACTGTGGCTTTGGTTTTGATTTTTAGGATATAAAAAAGGAAAAAAAAATTACATACTAGCAATTCAGGATCAGATATAAGGTCATATATATTTTTCTATTTTGATTTTTGTACTATCATGACTACTATAGTGTAGATATTTTTTTATGGAATGAAAGAAACCTAGTGGATGTATTTATTTTTCAGTATTTAGATGTTTTAGTTGCTATGTAGTATGTAGTTTATTTCAATAAATATTGACAAAAAATTTGAAACACTTCCAAACTAGATATTGAGTTTTGCACGTTACAATTCAACATGAAAGGACTTGTCCTGGTTGGGTTGTGACGTACAACGATGACGATTGGTGATTATGCGTTGGTCCAGCTATAGTTGATGGATGTTCTTCGGCGGCTGGGTAGTGGTCTGATGGTGGTCGACGAAAGTTCGTCGGCGGCTAGGCAGTGGTCGACGGAAGTTCGCTTGTGGTGATGCCTGGGTATAACTCTAGGATCCTTGAAGTCTATATAGCTCTCTCCAATCTCTAGGGAAAAGGTCCCCTCATAAAGAGATCATGGGCCTATTTATATATTTTGTGAGTGTCATGCTTAGGGATTTCAAATACGGGTCATGGGTCGGGTTCGGGTCCAACCCGACTTTGACCCGACTCGAACACGACCTAAGTCTAGGTTCGGGTCACTTTTACGAACCCGAACCCAACCTGGTTCAGGTTCGGGTCAACCTGACCCGACTCGAAATTAATAAAAGAGCTTCATTTTTTTTTTTGCATCTTGATGGCAGATTTGCATCACAAAACACTTCTATATATTCTTAACTAATAATTGGAAATTGGTAAAAAATTAAATAAAAGCTCAATTTTTTTTTACATTATACATAACACAGTACATTACAAATACTAAATTACATAACATAAATTACAACTTACAAACTCTAAACTACAAACTCTATAATCTAAAATTACAAGCTCAAATTACAAGTTAGAAGCCCAAATTCATAATCTTCAATATTCAAGTTGAATTAACTGGAAAAGACAAAATGTCTTACAAGCTTAAAAAATCTTATCAAAAAATAACTAACGAATGGTGTTTTAATCTTCCATCTAGTGACCCAATTAAACCACATTATGCAGAGTACAAATAATGTATTATAAGTACAACAGTTACAACAACAAGAACATCTATTTCATGTTCAACAATCACCATTTATCCCCAATCCCAGTCCCTATTGGCTACCAAAGACATACAACAGCAAGAACAACAATAACAGCATGCTGCATGCATTAAAATTACAACAATTACGTGCTTACAATAGCCAAAAGAAAAAAACCCTAAATGAATTTTTTTCCATATACAACAAATTTGTAAAGCCCTCAATTTTGTATAATCCTTTAACAACATAATTATCAAATGAAATTTGAGAAACCAAAAAATATACAAAGCCCTAAAAATCAAACATGAAAAATGAAAAAAATTTGATGCCCTAACCGGCATAGATGCATAAAAAAGTCCCAAAGCCCTCAATTCTCAATGTAAAAAGCCTAAAACTGAAATGCCGAAAGGCCCGAACCCTTAAGATAGAGGTTCCGATGAGAAATCTCAAAACGACAAAATCGAAAGTGTGAATAACCCTAACATCTAAATGCCAAAACTCAGAATAATATAAATGATAATAACATAGAGCCACAAAGGGACAGAGTATGCACACAACAAACTACAGGATTAAGATAAAGGAAGAGGATCAAACGAGTATAACTGAAAAAGGATAGGAAGGCAGCACAACAACCAACAAGGCTGAACCCAGAGAGACCGAGATGAGAGTCACGAGACTGCGAAAAGTCAAAATGAAATGAATAATGAATTAAGACTACCGCTATACGTCTAAATGCCAAATGGCTAAGCTGCGACGCTAAACCTAAAATGACGCGAAGTTGCGATTCACGAACTGCTTGCCGCATCGGGTCAATTTCGGGTCTAAAACGGGTTTTCGGGTTGACCCAAACCCGACCCGAAAATTGAAATAGGTCAAAATTCCCGAACCGAACCTAACTCGTTTCAGGTTCGGGTTGACCTTAACTTGAAATTTTTAGGCCGGATTTGAGTCAGGTTTTCGGGTCGTGTCAAATATTGACACCCCTAGTCACACTCTGTAAATATGAAGAAGATCCATGCTAAATTTGGAATGTTTCATCGGACGACTCATATCGATTCCACTGATCATATAGCATTTATTCGTGCTTTTAAGTGCCTTATTGATTTTTAAATTAAGTGATCTTAGGCTTGTTGGATTCGCCTTGACGAGCTGCTTGATTTGATTATAAGCATGTTATATTTAAGTATCATTTGATCATCCAATTTATGTTTTGAACATTCCAAATATGATTTGCCCTCAAGTTTGGACCCATTTGTGCTCGAATTGTAATAATTTTGGTGTCGTTGGGTTCGTATTTTCGAGATGTTCATTTTGATTATACATTTGCTAAAACTGGAGTTTGGACGACCCCAAATTTAATTTTGAAAGTTATCAACTCATATATGCTTTGAGATTTGTGTCTGATCAAAGAAAATTTTGATGAGATATCAATACTTATCTAGTCTTTACGCTAGTAAATTAAAAGATTATTAATAAAAGTTGAGTTATCTTATAAGTGATTATGATTCGAAAGCATACATCTAGTATAATTTTTTCTTAATTTTGAGTTGCCCTATGATGATCATCAAGACAATGTAAGAAATAGTCATCTTGTTATTATAGTAATTTAGGAAGATACAATATTATGAAATTATTTATTTATTTTGCTCATTATTAAAAAAAAAACAATGAGAGTTTCAAATAATTGCATGAGTAATAATTTTGCCGACCAGACTCAATTTGACTTACGAACGTAACGGACTACATGGATGAATGAGAAGCCTTCCCGTTTCGTGGATCGTGGGAACTATATAAGCGGCTCACAAAGCTCGACCAAAAACCCTAGGCGACGCCGCAAGAGCATCCTTTTCCTTTGCCCCTTCTCGCGCTTCCTCGCTCGCAGGTACTGTAAATTGACAAATCACCTAAATTAGTTGTTCTTCTTTAATCAATTTTAACTATCTCGATTCTTACCCGACCTGTGCTGTTATGTCATCTTCGATCTGGTTTTGCGTTCAATCTTATATTTGGAGATGGTTTCTTGCTCATACGTCGAACATTATTTTGATAGAGAAAAGTAGATCATCATTAGGATTTCAGCGAAAATATTTTATTTGCTTTTGCACCACCATAGTCTTTAGCAGTTAGTAGTTTGGTTACTCTCTCTTTTGCTAGTAATCGCTTATCTTCATTGTTTTTTCTCCTGGAGACTCAACTTGTTTGTATTTATGTAGTTTACTGAGGTTAACTTGCACAGCTGATCAAAATGTTTACCGCAAGAAAGAAAATTCACAAGGAACATGATGCCGAGCCCTCTGAGTTCGAGGAGAGCGTTGCACAGGTTAATTTTGTTTTGTTATTATGGAAGGAAAATTTCTCTTGTTTGGGTTTTATCTGCAGATTTAATCTGGTTTTTCATTTCCAGGCTTTATTTGATCTTGAGAACACAAACCAGGAGCTGAAGAGCGATTTGAAAGATCTTTTCATAAACTCTGCTGCGTAGGAAGCTGCATTCTATCTTCTGATTTTTTTTTAATGATGAACAGTTTGTTTTATTGTCCTTTAAATTTCTGTCTTGGATTTATTGTGGCAGTCAGATTGATATTTCTGGAAATCGCAAGTCCATTGTCATTCATGTTCCTTACAGAATCAGGAAGGCCTTCCGTAAGATTCATGTGCGTCTTGTGAGGGAATTGGAGAAAAAGTTCAGTGGAAAGGTGAGGTCTTTTGCTATTTATTATTCTTTTTTTTTTCCTTCCCTTCGTAACTAGATGCTCGTCTTAGTGGAGAATAGGGAAAGCCAGGAATTCCTTTCTTCTATTGCTGTGATACCTAATTTGGATTCATACGAGCAGTAGTAGATGCTATTCCACCTGTGATGTGGCTTATAATAAGCTAGGAAGTGTCAACCAGTGTTAAAGGGCACTTCATAGTTTGACGCTTTCACTTAAAAATATCTATTTGTGTGCGTGAAATGCATGCATCTTTTAAAGATTTAATCTATGTATTATGGGCACGGACATTACACAACAAAAACATGTGATACAACATAAAGGCAAAATAGGACACTCTAAGCCATGAACATCGTGTTAGATTTTATAAACTATTAATATAAAATATATAAAATTTACTATTTTCTTCTAAATGCTTCACATGATGAAGTATAATATCTTAAAAGAAACTCTATATGTATTTATAAAATTATAAATTGAATTATATCGAAGCATTTTAAGCTATTTTACATGGGAGAAAATCATAAATTCATGTACTATGATACCAAAAAATGCTGCCTAACTATATCCAAAAAAGTTTGTGCATTGAATGACTTTGGCTTCGGAGATTATAGCCAAAAAATTTGAACTTCGATCATCTTTGGCTTTGAAACTATTTGGCTTAAGAGATGGCTACATGAGGCATGAGAGCACAAATGATTGCATGACTTCACACAAGCTTCAAAGAAGAGTTACAAGACATGTGACAACTTTGATCAAAGAGGTGTAGGTGCGGGATCATGTGCAGACGATTAGGGAAACTAATAGATGCATTACATTATTATTTCCTTAACATGATTTCATTTTTGAGTTCCGCTACAATCGTTGTTAAGTTTTCCCATTCTGCATGTCCCACCAGTCTTCAATAAGTTTCAGAGTCCAATTTTACCCCAAAAAATTTGAAATTATTTTTGAAGTGTCTGACACCTGTCACGGCTTGTTGAAGTTGTGCCTGTATCCGACAAGGGCATGGAAGCTGTTTGGGAGTATCCATGGTTCATAGGATGTAATTAATGTGAAGTTTGTGAATATATTCCTTAAGAATTTGGCATTAGCCCCATAATGCTATCGAAGTAAGCTAGTCAATTTGATTTTTGGTCCCTCTGTTTTGATTTGTTTCAATTTGTCCATGATAGGTAACTATCTTCTAAAAGTTGGATTACAAAAATTCATTCAATAATTTATTATTAGCTTGTTTTCTATTTATTTCTTATCATAAGTCATAACAGATTGAAGGTGTGCTTGTCTTTGTTTGAAAACCCACTTACTCTACATGCTATATCATTATAGGTTCTCAATTTTGGCCTATCATTATCAATGATAGGTCATTCAATTTGAACAAGTAATCATTTGCCTTATTTTTTGCTCTTAAATTAACAATACAGTTAAAAATTTTGAGAGGAACAATCTAAAATTGGACTCCATTGACTTCAAAAAAATTTAAATGGCAAATGCTTAGAATTTGCCTTGGAATTAGTTAAATGACATTTACTGAAATTTTTTTGAATGGGCGACTGTTAAAACTTAGCCTTGGAGTTATTCAAATGACATACATTGGGCATTTAAAGATTTTAAACCCATTTAGTTGATTTGATAAATAAGGATCAGGTAGACTAATTTGTTGTCTTCTTCAATCATATAATGGCTACATTATCATCATTGGAGCTGAGGTTTTAGCTTGAAGATTGAATTGATTTTTGGCTCAGATCAAGCCAACCAAGCTAAGGTACCATTCATAATTTCGGCTCGTTTTGATATTTGAGCTGTATCAAATGATATACAAGATAAGTTACCATTCTTTTTGGTGATGATAAGGTACCATGGAAATAAGTTGGATTAAATGATGATAAAAGACTGGTGAACATTTTTTTTTTTTTTAATAGACTGGTGAACATGAAATGGTATTATGACTCAGAAAATAATTATGTGCTCATGGAAATAAGTTGGATCAAATGATATACAAGAACTCTAAGTTCGAGCAAATCATAAGTATCATGGGTATGTGATGTTGGATATCTTATGGTTTAATATTTTTAAATGTACATATAAGATGAGATGTATGAAAACACGCACATAGGATAAGTTTTAATGTACAAATTATCGATATAAATAAATGTTTCTCTTTTAATGAGAGCCAATAAATGTACAAAATTCACACAAATGATAATTTAATGATTTTCTAATTTGAAATTTACATAAAAACTCAAGATCAAAGAATGCATAGTTTGAAAATCTCACGATAATAAAAAAATTATATTGTAGGAAATTTGACAAATTGTACTCAAGTAGGTAGACTAAAATAAAAAAAATATAGAATAATATAAAAATAGTGAAACAATTTGCAAAATAACAGTCCTTGTTTAATGGTGGTGGAAGATAGCTTTTTGTGGAAGTTATATTCACAACTTGTATCACACTAGAATGATTCACATTCACATACAATGCATACTAAACATGATGTATTTGGAATTTAGATGTTAATTTTTTGTTTGGTTAAAATTAATTAAAATGAAAATAAAATTTAAAAATTAAGTTAGCTCATGGGTATGAAGGCACATGATGTATCTCGTTGGGACAAGCATTGACAGTATAATGACAGATGATGGTCAGAGGGCTTGCAATAGAGTTTGTTAGGGCAGATAATGGAAACATCGATAATTTGTGAAGCAGGTGAAGGGCTTGCGATGGGAGCTTGTTGGGGCAAGAATCCACACGATTAATGGCTGTGAAGGAGAAGGGTTGTGATGGTAGTTTTCTAGGAGAAATCACGATATATTTGTTCGATTTTGATGATTTTCAAATACACAAAAAATAAACTAATATTGAGTTTCAAATTCCTCCGTGTACATTTGTTTTGCTTTTCAGCCAGTTAAACACTTAAATTTTCAAAATCTCTTCATTTGAAATGTAGTACACTGAAAACTCCTCCAACGAAACAGCTCTTAAGCACAAAGTGGAAACAAAATTATCATTGGAAGTGTTTTCTTTTAACTGTAAAACTTCTCCCTTAAGAAAAAAATTAGAAATAATTTGCCGTTATATTGTTGAAGTCCCACCATGTAAATAAATAAGTAGCAGCTTGCTAACTGATCCCTTACTCTTCGGCTGAATAATGCTGCACATCTCATTGGAGTTGTTAACAAACCATGCACACAAGTAGCCGCATAGCACATTTTGCTATCTTAGCCGAAATATCATAATTAAAGACCACATGAGCTCAACAATGAAAAGCCCATCTGAAAGTCCATTAGTTTAATTGAAGCTCAAAGAGCAAACCTCAGAGAATTCCATTTACAATCCAACTAAAAGATACAATAACAAGGCCCAAAACAACAATGATAATGACAGCACTAATAGAAATTAGTGGCGTGGACCAAATATAGAAAAAAACTATGAACTGAAATACTAAAGAAAGCATGACTTGTTCTCCATGGGAATCTTCATAAGACATTTTTATCAAAGCATTAAACTATGAAATAAAACAACTATTAAAATAACATAATTAAGGTAAAATAAATATTCTGATTGGCAATCAACTTGTCTCAGTACTCATTTTTTGTGGTTTCGGTGAGTATAAGCTTTAATATTGCATCAGATTGTCCTGCTTGAAAAATTTTGGCTTCAATGAATTGAGCATTTTATATTTATCAAGTAAATTTGGGTATAATTTCAATGCTTTCTATCGCATGTAGGTTCATCACAGCAGTGCTTGAGGTATCTTTTTTATTATACTGCATCAATTGTGAACATAATCTTATCATCGTAAATTTGCTTTTGTAACAAGATGAATAAGATTATCTGACATTTGGTTGGATGTGAATTCCCAAGGAGAAGACTGTAAAAAGGAAGAATTGAAGTTCAAGATTTTTAATTCACAAAATAAAGTTGGATACGTTTACGAATAACCTAATACTAGAACTTCTCAAACGTTTCTAGCAATTAGTTTCTTAAAGGCTTTTGCAAAAAATATTTTAGGATTTAGGTGTATTATACTTTATCATTTGGTTGAAATTTCACATAACTCTTGTTCATAAAATTGGATATATTGAAGATTGAACTAATACTTGAACTTTTCAAATTTTCAACTTATACACTGATTAATGCATGGAATGATTTTATATAACCCCATCTTTCTACCAATTAATTTCTTAAAGGCTTTTATAGAAATTAATTTAGGATTTAAGTGTATTATCATCACAATATACTTTATCATCATTACATAACTCTTGTTCACATTTGTCTTTCACTTACAATCTTTATAATTAAGAATCAATAGTTTATACATATCTTCATGTGAGTCTGTATATTTTGCACAACTGATTGTACACATTAAACAGGCCTAGATTTAATAAAAAGATTAATAAGATCTACAATTTTTTCTTAGAAAATCTATTACTATTTCAATTGTACACATATTTGTACACCTATAAACAAATGAGTTCAATGTAAAATTAGCGATAGGTGATAAAAAGTCACAATCCGATGCTGTTGTTATTTGTTCTTTAATATGATTAAAATCAACCAATTGTAATTTTAATTGTTTGTAAATCAAGTACCATGTTCAATATATTAGCAAGCTTATTATCAACGACATTACAGTGTTTCAATAGGAATGTGTACTCTTGCTGAAATTCAACCAATTTAGCACATTTATCTCCTAATTTCTTTTTTGGATTTAGATATTTTTTGCTTGATGTTAATAATATAGGATAAACTCCTCAAGCACCTAATAATGTATGCAGTATTGAAGTATATGCATTCTTCCATAAATTTTTTAATTATAATTAGAATTTTTTGTCTTATTCAATTTCCTAGTAAATAATCAATTATACCTTTTATGGTTTATACTCTCAATACATACAATTGATGATGAATCACAAGATAGCTTAAGCACAATAGCACTTTTTTGCCTATCCTTAATATCTTTAAAAACACGGTCAACAAATTTTGTTGATATAAAATTTCCATTTTAAAGATACTTTGTTATTGATTCAGTTACAATACTAAATCCCTTAATGAATCATTTATAGAAAGTAGTCAAACTATGAAAATTCTGAATCTCATAGATATTTGTGAGTGCTAGCCAAATTTTTAATTACTTTGATTTTATCTATATCAACTAATAGTCTATCGCTTGATACGACAAATATTAAGAATAACACAAATATAATTAAGCAATTTTTTAAAATTCATTTATATATCTTTCAAATTTGCACTACTTATAGCTTTTAAGATTCACCAAATAATCCTCACTGATGCCAAATATGATGCTTGATGATTTTGAAAAAAAGAAGAAAATGTAATAGAGAAGATGAAAATAGGTAAGAAGATAAATTAAAGTGATTTGCAATCTCTTGCGTGAATGAGGAGATAACCTCTCCAAAATTATTTAAATCTCACATTTTGTGAAGGATTGAAATTTCAGAATAGATAAAGAAAAAGGCCTACTTCTACAATTAGATTTTTTTTTTCATGCTAGAAAATTCATTATCATCCACCCTATAAGGTCCATTCTGATTATTTCTCGAATGATGAATTTCTTGCCTCCTAATTGTGTAAACTTTTAAATGAATAGGTTGATCGATATGTTATGATATGACTTTTTGTTCCTATGATGAAATTTAGTAGTTTCCAACGTGTTAATTTACTTCTTGACTTGGTTTATATCTTCGCTCATTTTACTTTGATTGTTCAGTAATTCAACCAATTGAACTTGCAAAGTTGTCAAGTTCTCATCCCTTTGATGAATTTTACTCTAATATTGATTCTAGTTGACGTGTTCGTACAACTTTAAGCTTTAATCCCAAATTTGATGCAGGACATTTTGGGTTATAGGATTTCCTAATGCAAATCTTATGAGATACACAAAATCATGTGCATGTGATCAAAATTAACACTTCTAGTGACAGACTATTCAATTTTTCAATTAAAGATTAGGGATCGATGAATTAGATCTCAAGTTTGTTGCAAAGAAACTTGCAAATACAATTTGAAGAATATGATTTATATCAAAATCATAGGTGTTGGGAGAAAGCCATTGGATCATAACGGCTCATTTTTGTGGTCTACATACACACATGAGGTTAAATTTATAAAGAATGTAATGTCATATCTCTTATCAACAACAATTCAATCCCAAGAAGATATAATCACGGAGGAGATCAAATGCTAATGAGAAACCAAAAGGCTTGTAATGAGGAACAATAAATGCAAGAGCAACATGCATGTCAATAACAACACAATCAATGAAGTATACATGAACTGCAACAAGGATCATGCAGTGATATATCCATAAACAAAGTAAAGAAGAGGTAGGAGAGGTGGATCCTTCGCTATCAATGCGGACTGATGTGTAAGTGAGCACATGACGGTCTATTTTCAAATAAGAAGGATAGATATGCTATAAAGGACCTACACACACAATCAGCATCTTAGTTGAAACAAGAAAGATTGACATAAGGTGAAATAGACTGGGCAATTACGATGAATATTCTACAACATTTGGTAAAATAAACTGTTAGAAGGTAAATGTGGAAATCATAGCAAAGGGAAAACTTATGAGTCCTTGTAAAGGACTCTCCATATGCACCGAATGCCATCTACTAGCAAAGCAAATGACACATAGCAATGCAAATACGTATGAGCCTTCGTAGGAGACCCTCATACACAACACTATCCACAGGAAAAAATACAAAGAAGATCTGCAATACATACAATTTCTCAACAAATAAAGATGTATGTATAACAGCCACACCTGTGTAGATACATAAAGATTATAGTAAATGCAGTATCATGTAGTCACTTGGTCTAAGGATAAATACATCTTCCTCCAACAGTAGTAGTTGTATTGAAAGACCAAAATCAAAGCAGAATGCATAAAAACTAAAAGTTCCTACGAGCTTCTACAACCCAAAGCAGGAGATTAGTTAGTGCACTATGATCCACCTACAGAAATCAACAAATAGTGGTACGACAGTCTACCTGTAAAAAGCAGTAAACAACTGATCAGAAGCTGCAACGCCACGCACGGATCTGCAACCTCCGTAACAGTAGACAGAAAGTGTCTACAAATGATTTTAAAATACCCTCGCACGTGCACCGTAGCTTGTATACACATAGGTACACAAAGGGGTATGTCGAATTAATGAAATTTCCAAACACTTGCATGGGCCCGGCGAGCGTGTTATGTACACATGTGACATCTAGGGATGCTGCGCGAGTTTAGTAAATCTGAACCCGATCCTCCTAAGCCGTAATAAGGAGTTAACAAAGTTCAACAAATAATTACAAAATGCCCCAAACACCCGCATGCCCCGCGAGCGTGTTATTGGTACACACGTGACGTCTAGGGATGCTGCGCGGGTTGACAAGTGAATTCAAGTTCGTATCTCGATCCTTCTATACGAGTCAATAGAAGTCGATAGGGCTCGAACCAACAAACCGAATATACTGTTGCGACGACCGCTATATTTATATTAATATATTCGTATTAGGCTTTCAAGCCTATAACAATGAGAATTCACTATCAAGGGCATAAAGCCTACGAAACCCGATCCTCGATCAATAGCTTGGTCGAGTTGACAGGGTTTAATCAACAAAATAGAAATGACCCTAAACACCCGATGATGGCCGTGTTGAATGCATATCTCAACTGGAGGGGTTCCCAATATTTTCCAAATGCCTCCAAAATATCAAAGTCTATTCAAATATTCCAAAGCTACACCCAAAATCCCAAAAAAATCTCAAATCCCAAAATCCAAAAAAAATATTTCAATTCTGAAATCTATCCATCAACACTTAAAGCAAAATCCATCCACTCCGCAACAGTTTGCTGGGGCGACAAATTTAAAACTACTTCAGTTCACAAAGACCAAATGCCTAGTCGAAAATATTACTAGGATCCTTTCTCAAATAGTCTCTTGCCAGCAAGGCGTGGTACATGTCCTCTGACCGGCGTCTGCGAAATGGCACCGAGGATAAACGGTATGCCGGGCCCTCTGAACCGAGTGGTTTTGCTGCAAATGGCACACGATACCGGTTATGGCCAGAGCCAATACGCTCCTTAATGCGTTAAATCCTTGAGATATGAATCAATAGGAATATGATCGATAGGCACAAAGCCCTCTGTTAGCTAGGTGGATTCAATTTGTCTCCTTAGGCAAATATCCTC